GGGGACGAGATGAAAGGTGAAACTCGAGCGGAGTTACCAGGAATTAAATATATACCTATGTTTCCATGGGAAAGTATTGTTCTGGTGCCAGGGCTGAGATCATTTTTCCACCGATCTCTCTCTCTTCCNNCCCCCCCCCCAATAAGATGTGTAACTTTTGCAGGGAGCAACGCGTGCAGCGGGGCCGCGGGGTGCAGCGCTGCGATGGTTCCGGGGGGGGCTGCGGGGGTACAGCAGAACCTCTGCGAGGGGCACGGGGGCGGCGGGGGGGAAGGAGGGGGGTGAAATATTGCAGAAATGCGGAGGGAATGCAAATAGTCCCTGCAGGGGGACTGTAATTGAGGCGCTGGGGGAGCTGCCGCTGTGGCCATTCATTGTGGAAATAATGCACATATGTCAGCGAGCGGCCACGCAGATGCAGCTTTTGGAAACGCGTGGATTTGCTGTTGCAATGCATTTTGCAGCCTGGGGTGGTTGCAGCCCCCGGGTTGGCGTTGGGCTCGTTCCGGGTCGTTCTGGGCTGTGCTCCTTTGGTGGCCCTTTCAGTGCTGGGGGACATGGCAGGAGTTTTCCTTTGTAAGAAAAATGTAAAGTTGTTGTATAATTTATTCCTAATTTGGGTTTGCTGCAGTCATCTTTTCCAGGCAGGCAGGGAATTGTAAAAGTTTCCAATAGGACAAGCCAAGGGAGTTTGATAGGGCGGAATTGAGCAGGATGGGACCCGGAGCTGCTCGCTGGGGGTCCCAGTGCATGGCAGGGGGTGAGTGGGGGACGGCTGCATCCCGGGGGTCCCCCCAAAAATGGGGTGAGGAAATGGGGCCACTGACAGCAGGGACCCACAGGGATATCCCGCAGCCCCAGTACCAGGAAAATGGGAAAAAGTGAGTGGCCAACCCACAGAGTATAGCCTCAGTGAATGGCATCGTTCTGTGCTCCGCTGCCTGTCCATCCCGTGCTCTGTGATGGGAGCATTGGTGCTGGAACTCTGTGTGCAGCTCCTCTCCTTGGGATGAACTGAACCACCCCAAATCTGCATTTTGGAGCAGTTTTTTTTTTTTTTTTTTTTTTTTGCATTGCACAGGAGGTTCCTCATCAGCACTCTGCAGTGCTGCACAGGGCTGCAGAAGGCTGCTGGGCTGCACAGTCCTCGCCCGGCTTTGAACCTGCTCCAAAGTTGTTTGGCAGCAATGGACGTTTCGGTGCTCCCTCTCAGGGTGGGAACTGAGGGGCTGCTCTGCCACAGGGCTTCTCCCTGCAGAGCATCTTTCCTGGCTCCAGGCTGGAGCACTCTGCAGCCCCCACACCTGTGCTGTGCAGTGGGATCTGCTTTTATGTGGCTGTGAGCTGCTGGAGCTGGCTCGGCCTGGAGCTCAGAAACAGCTCCTTCCTTCTGGCCCTTCCTACAGCAGAGAGCAGTGATGCTTTCAGCATCATCATCCCTGTGTTACACAGCCATGGTACCCGCTGGGCTCCCCAGCATTTTGTGGTCAACAAAACGTACCATCACTGCATACCAACTGCTGTGTTCCACCACCTGCTCGTTTCTACCTCCGTTCCTCTTTCAAGCTGACAAGTGGTATTTTGGGTTGGATGGAGAAACTGCAGCAGTTTGCTCCCACCTGTGGCACTGCTGGGACCTGGTCTGGAACCCCAGAGCTTTGGCTGTCACCAATGGGATGTTCTTCTGGAAGAACAACTACACAGAAGGTTGCGTTCACAGCAAGCTAAGCACGGTTTGATGCTGTCAATCTGGACCCTCGTGGCATTGGATACACTTGGGAGTCTTCAAATTTGTTGTGATGGGGAAGTGTTCCCTGGGGAAGCCCACGTTGGAGAAACACCTGCAAACACGCAGCGTTCTGCCCAGAAATAAGAAAACGAAGGGGAGCAATGGTCATTAGAGCACTAATTATAAATACTTCACGGGCACGAGCTTAACCACGAAGTATGGCTGCGCACCGATCTCATTCCCAGTTCTCACAGTTTGTTGCCTCAGATTGATTCTCTTTTCTGCACTCCAGCTGCAAAGGGAACAGCAATAGTGAGAACCACGGCCCACGTGACGCTGCTGAACGCGTACCCTATGGACTTTGATCAAAGGCTCTGCACCTCTCCGCAGCGCTGCATTTCACGGAGAGCTCTCTTTTTTTTTCCGCCCAGAAATTGCAACGGGATGAATGCGAATCCAAAATGGTGGACGTTTTCTATTCCAAACAAAACAAAACAACCGCCGTGGGGAGGCAGCAGGTCTTTGCTCGTAGCAAATTGACCCACGAGCACCTCGTTGTGCAACGCGAGGTTGCCTCGTCAGCACCACCTCAGCGCTCCGTGCTGCCATGACACAGGCACTTGGCATGGGTGGAAAAGGGCCGGGTCTGGCTGCAAACCAACCCATCTCAGCTCAAGTTCTACAGTGTTGCTTTTTTTTTTATTTTATTTTTTTAATTTTTTTTAAATTTTTTTTTCCTATAGTATTTTTTTTTTCTGCTGAATTGCTATCTGACAATGCAAATTGCGTTGACCCCGTTGCGTGACTTGTTTACTCTCTGCCACTTTTTTTGTGATGGAGCGTGCCTGCCTTAAGCACTTTTGAAGGCTGGAGCACCTCTCCTATGAAAAAACGTTGAGGGAATTTGGCTTGTTGAGTTTGGAGAAAAGAAAGCTCCTGGAAACCTCAATGAGGCCTTCCAGGACTTGAAGGAAGCATATAAATAGGAGGGGGAATGGCTGTTTATGAGGGTGGATAGTGATAGGGCACAGAGAGTGGTGATGCACTGGAACAGGTTGCCCAAGGAGGTTGTGGATGCCTTTGGAGGCATTCAAGGCCAGGCAGGATGTGGCTCTGGGCAGCCTGGTCTGCTGGTTGGTGACCCTGCACATAGCAGGGGGGGTTGAAACTAAATGATCATCGTGGTCCTTTTCAATCCAGGCCATTCTGTGATACGCAATATATAAGGAAGTGTGGAAGTGCAGTGCATTGCTGGAGGAGTTAAGTAGCATGGGATGAAGGACAGGCAGATGGCTGGGGCAGAAAGCAGCAATGTTTGATGTCAGCCAAACAACTGCACTGTGCAGCTGAGCGAGGGGGAAATCGTGCACCCTGCACCTCGTGGTGCTGCTGTGCTGCTCCCATGGCATTGCCCTGAGGATGGAGCTGCACCTTGGGCTGTGCTGAACCCACGTTCCTGCAGCAATGTGGCAGGAGGGCAATGCTCCCCAGGGCTCAGCAGGGACAGGAAAGCATCAGCATATAAAAAGCTTGAACTGTATGAGTAATTATAGCAATAAAAGTGATACATTGCAGGGGGAAAGGAGTAAAGCCACGGCGTGTTTTTTTTTTTTTTTTTAGGTTTCTCACTGCCACACCAAGTGGTGCTCATTTGTTTCCTTCAGTTCCCAAAAATCAGACCTTCCTTTGGGGTGAATTCCCTCCTGTGACACACACACACATTAGCTGCTAAGGTGAAACAATTGATACTCAATTAAAACCACAGGAGTAATTTAGGGAGCTGAGACTCTGCGTTCTTCCAAGAATATTGGCGTTCATGGAACACAATTAGCATGGAAGTCACAAAGCAGACTTGTCCATTGCATGCTGTGGTTGCAGATGTATCAGATAACTAAGAAGTTGGTTTGGTTGGCTTGTTTGGCTCCAGAGGCAACCCTGGGCCAATGGGGCGTGATGGGTGATGGCCCCAAAGGCAGCCCTGTGCCAGTAGGGTGCACTGGGTGATGGTTTGGCTGTGGGGTCACTGGAAATTGGAGAAAACTCAGGGCTGCTCTGTGCATTTCAGCCACGGCCAGAGCTATAATTACAAAAGTTGTTTCATTAGCTGCAGAGTTGCTTAGCTCCCTTCCTTAGGGCCTGGCTGGGAATAGTTTAAGAGATTAGCATTATCAGCTAGAGCAATGTTAGCACTAAAGCAGATCTAGGATCCTGGAGCTTTGCCACGCCAGATATATTCTGCAGCAGCAGAGCAGGAAAGGCCATTCAGTACCACTCCATACCCACACACAGTGCAAAAAGGTTTCAGGTTTTTTGCTTTTTGTCTTCCAAATCCATGTTATTTTGCACGTTGACGAGTACAAATGGAAAAGTGCACTGTAATCCTGGCTCAGTAAAAAGCCATTGGGAGGGGGAAGCCTGAGCCATGCTTATAGGGCTTTCTTCTGCCTCAAAGCCAAAACGAAAGCTCTCCTTCCCCCGAAGCAGGAAATCCCAAACACTTGGTTGACGTTTCAGGGAGTTCATCCCATCATTAAGGTCTCTGGGGTGCGAAAGCACTCGTGAGTCATCTCGGTTTTGGAGATGTTGCAAACAGATGCAGCACATCCTCCACGAGGGCTGCAGGAAGCTGCTGGCGCATCCCAAGTGAGAAGCACTGAAGCACTGTGCTGAGCATCCTTCAGGGTCTGCACCCCATAATAGCTGAGTGTGGGGCAGGCACTGCTCAGGCTGCGTTGCTGCCCCAAAACCATCACATCGAGGGCCTTTGCACATTAGGCTGCTGCAAAAAGCTGAGTGCAGTGAAGCCCATGGA